TCCATATTTAAACCCCATCAGTCTGAGCAGGCGTGGCACCCTCTGCCAGGCTCCTTGTCACTCACTGACCGTGTGGCTTGCCATGACACCCCAAGGGCTGTGGGGTCTGTTGGAAAGGGGCATGGGGACCTCAGGCTGAGTCATCGGAGGATGGACATCACCTAGGCCCCCTGGAACTTTGCTTCTCCCACCCCCTCCTCTTCCTGCTTCCCTCCCCTGCAGGGTTAGGCAGAGCTGGCTCTGATGGTCTGAGGTTCTTCCTGGCTTGGACAGGAAGAACGCAGGTGTGGCAAGCAGAAGAGTTCTGTGATTGGCAGGGTTCTTCAGGTCAGAACCAAAGGGAAGGGGTGGGGGCTTTTCCTGTGACCCCGGGGGTCAAGGAGAAGGGTCGTTTTCTAGGGTGATTTCAGAAAGCCTACATGGAGTCCTGTGTGATTTTTTTTTTATTCACTTCAACTAAAAGAGGACTCACCCAGGGACTTCCTGGCAGCCCAGTGGTTAAGACTTTAAACTCCCACTGCAAGGGGCACAGGTTCAATTCCTGGTCCAGGAATTCATATCCCACATGGCACGTGATGCAGCCAGGAAACCAAAAAGGACCCACTAGGAAAACAATCCAGTTGTTGCCTGGGGGTGTCCGCCTTTCTCTGTGCCAGGCAGAGAGTGACCCCCAGAGTGGGTACCAAAGTCACTCCTCTGGGATTCAGGCCTCAGGAGGTGATGGGCCTTGCCCTCTTGCCTTTGCTCTAGCTGGCTGGGACCTGAGGATTCTTCACCTTGAGTAACTGGCTGCCGCCAAAGGGGTGGCAGGCCCCTGGGATGCCCCAGAGGGCGGGTCGGCACCACCGCAGGAGTGAGCCTTCCACAGCCTCCTTGGATAGTCACTGGAGAACCCTCCCGATGGCAGGACCCTTCGGCAGGCCCTCCCCTGGGAGCAGCAGAGCCCTGCCACTGTGGAGTTCCCTGCCACAGACCTATCACTGTTTAGTTCCCAAGTCACATCTGACACTTGTGCAAACCACGGACTATAGCCCACTAGGCTCCTCCGTCCATGGGACTCTCCAGGCAAGAATACTGGAGTGGGGTGCCATTTCCTTCTCCAGGGGATCTTCCCGACCCAGGGATTGAACCCTCGTCTCCTGTATTGCAGGTGGATTCTTTACCTCTGAGCCACCTGGGAAGCTATACCATAGACCTATGACACGACGAGACAGATCCCATTTAAGGCCGGGTGCCCCCGTATGCCTGGAGGCAGAAGCATCATCGATCTGAATGCTTCTTTTTTAGCCATTTGCAGGGAGTCATACAGAGGCCTGTGACGGGGAGAGAAGTGTGTGTGATGTGGTGCTGCCTCCTAGGTGCGCTGGTTGAGAGATGTTTCCAGAACATCATCAGGCAGGGTGTAACTGAGAACCACAGGGCACCCTGCAGCCCATGCTCCTTGGGGATGTCTGGCTTAGCCCTGCAGACCTGAGGGCTGGCTAGCTCTGATTCCCCTTGGAGAGAAATGACAAGTTTTCTAGCTTTCCTTCTTCGGTTACTTCTATTTGCAGCATGCTTTCCATCCCATTGTTGTCAGTTTGGGAGAGTGGCCAGGAGACAGCTCTGGTCCCAGCAGCAGAGCTGGGATGAGACGGTGAGAAACCTGGGCAGAGTGAAGCAGAGGGGCGGAGCATCCCAGGGCCTCCCATGTCTATGAAGCTTGTTGGAGATGGCCTGGTAGAAAGGGATCCCAGTGTGGCTCTCTTGGGGCTGCGACTGTATCCACATGTCCATGGTGGGAGCTAGGACAGCTCCTCCTGGCTGTGAGGGGACATCCCCCCCGGCGAGGGGTGGGGGCAGGGGGCTGCTGTCTCCCTGACTTCCTCTCGCTTCCTTCCCTACAGATGATCCCTCCAGACCAGGAGCTGCTGGTGTGGTATGGAAATTCACACAACACCTTCCTGGGGATCCCTGGTGTGCCCGGCCTGGAGGAGGAGCAGAAGAAGAACAAGCACGGTAGGCAGCCCCACGCGCCCACGAGGACGATGGCCCACGGCACTCAGGGCGGGGGTGTGTGTGTGTGCTCGGCGGGGAAACTGCTGGCCTCTGGGGACCTTGGTCCCACCCCCAGCAGCGTCAAGCACATGGCACTTCCTGGTTTAAGCAGGCTGATGCCCCCGGAGCCGCCGCCACGGTCCAGGCATGGATGGGAGACAGTTCTGATTCTGGACAAAATAGACTGTCTGTGGGCAGATTGGGTGGAGGGAGAAGCAGGGTGTGGCATAGGAGCAAGAGGCCAGGCAGTAAAGACACTGGCTGGAATTCCAGTCTGCTGTGCAGTCTTGGGAAATGGCTCTGTGCTTGGTTTCCCTACCTCTAAAAGAAGGATGTTTGTTAGGCAAGATGATGTCTAAGCGCCCTCCCAGCTCTGTCCATGGTGCTGGACCTGGCACAGAGTAGGTGCTCAGTGTGCATCTGTTGAATGAAGGCTGAGCAGAGAGAGAGAGAGAGAGAGAGAGAGAGAGAGAGAGAGAGAGAGTGTGTGTGTTGGGTGGGGCGAGGCGGGGGCACTGATCATCATGGTAAGAGACCATTTGCTCAAGACCTATTTCCTGCCAAGTATTGGGCTAAACCTTTTACAGGTATCATCCCACTTGGGTCCTCATAAAACCTTTGTCATATTTGGTTATTTTTACTTTTAAAGGACAAATCTGGGGCTCAGGAACTACTGTCTATCCAGCCCTTGCTCTAATGTTTCACAAACCATTTTTTCTGATCCTCATAGCAACTTTTTTTGGGTGATGTTATCATTACTTTCATTTTGGGGATGAGAAAAGTGAGGTACAGTTCACTGGTACATAGTTGAAAAAGTGAAAGTTGCCCAGTCAAACCAAACTCTTTGCAGCCCCATGGACTGTAGCCCACCAGGCTCCTTTGTCCATGGAATTTTCCAGGCAAGAATACTGGAGTGGGTTGCCATTCCCTTCTCCAAGGGATCTTCCCAACCCAGAGATTGAACCCAGGTCTTCTGCATTGCAGGCAGATTCTTTACCATCAAGGCCACCAGGGAAGCCCTGATACATAGATGGCACTCAGTAAATATTTGTGGGATAAATAAATGAAAAGTTTTGGGGGGAAGAGGAGTAGTTATAACAGTTACTACCATTTATGGACAGTTCCTAATAGCCTGGTACTTCCCAAGTCTGGGCTTAGGCAGGTAAAGTGCTCTATACAGAGTAGCCTTTGAAGACGTCAGCTTTTTTGGTGATCATCTCAGGAAGATGCCCTGGAGGAGGAAATGGCAACCCACTCCAGTATTCTTGCCTGGAATATACCATAGACAGAGTAGCCTGGCGGGTTACAGTCCATGGGGTCACAAAGAGTCTGACACGACTGAGAACTGAGCACGCACACGCACTCAGGTGTAGCTGTGCATAATCCCCGTGATGTCCTAGTAGGTTCCCATTTTTTAAAAATTCTTTTTAAAATTTTACTTATTTATTTTAATCGGAGGATAATTGCTTAACAATACTGTGACCGTTTTTGCCTTACTCAGCATGAATGGGCCACAGGGCATCCATGTGTCCCCTCCATCCTGAGCCCACCTCCCTCCCCACCTCATCCCTCCAGCTTGTCACAAAGCACCTGGCTTTGGGTGCCCTGCCTTCACGTAGGTTCTCATTATACTGGATGAGAAACTTGAGGCTTCCCCGAGAGGCTAAGTCACTAAGTCCCCGAGATCTCGCAGCATGGGTCTGAAGTCCAACTCCTAACGGATGCCAGGTCAGGGCGCTCGCTGCCCCTTCCCACACCTGTGCGGCGCCCCGAATCAGTCTGCGGAGTGGTCACCCCGACGGACCGAAGGATCGATGATCCGAGGCGGCTGAGCCCCGGGAGGGGCGCCCCTCGGGGAGGCGTACGGGGGTGGGGTGTCGAGCCGCCGGCCTCGGGGATGCTAACGAGGCTGCTCTCTCTCTCTCTCTCTCCTCCTCCCCGCCTGCCCACCCCCCACCCGAACCCCGCCCGCGCGGCCAGAGGACTTCCACCCCGCGGACTCGGCGGCGGGCACCGCGGGCCGCATGCGTTGCGTCATCTGCCACCGCGGCTTCAACTCGCGCAGCAATCTGCGCTCGCACATGCGCATCCACACGCTGGACAAGCCCTTCGTATGCCGCTTCTGCAACCGCCGCTTCAGTCAGTCGTCCACGCTGCGCAACCACGTGCGCCTGCACACGGGCGAGCGCCCCTACAAGTGCCAGGTGTGCCAGAGTGCGTACTCGCAGCTGGCCGGCCTGCGCGCCCACCAGAAGAGTGCGCGCCACCGGCCGCCCAGCGCCGCGCTGCAGACCCACTCGCCCGCGCTGCCCGCGCCGCACGCGCACGCGCCCGCGCTCGCCGCCGCCGCCGCGCACCACCTGCCGGCCATGGTGCTGTGAGCGCCTGCGCCTACGTGCGCGGCCCCGCTCCCCGCGCGCACCCCCGCTCCCCCCTCCCGCGCGCCCCCGCCGCCCAGACCCCGGGCCGCCGCGCGACACCTGCCGGCCATGGTGCTGTGAGCGCCTGCGCCTGCGTGCGCGCCCCCGCTCCCCTGCGCGCGCCCCCGCTCCCAGATACCGGGACGCCGAGCGACTCGCCGCTGTCTTCTCTCCTGACGCGACCTCCCGGCCGCACGCGGCCGCCTGACCCGGCGCTGTAGGCGCGCCCCAGAAATGACGCCCAGGCTTACCCTCTTCGCCCCATTTTCTCACATGAGGACCCTGAAGGGCGAAGTCCCTCTCCCAGGCCTCCCCTCTCCCCGACCTCGGCCACATCTTCAGACGGTCCCGGAGTCGCACGCCTCTTGAGTCGGCTGACCGGGCTGATATAGCCGCCTCGTGGGTGGCGGGAGAGGATACTGAAAGCCTCGCTGAGGGTTCTCAGCGAGGGCGGGGGAAGGGAGACTCCCACCACCCTCACAGCCGCGTGTGGGAAATGGAGAGCGACCTCCCCGTCCCAGGGTGGGCAAAGCGGGCCCCGGGATGGCACGCGCCATCTCTCTCCTCCTCCCTCCTCAGGGACTGCTACCCTGCAGTGTCGCCCCCTCCTTGAGAGCTGGGGGCTGGCGGGCTCAGGGGCAGCCAGAGGAGGCCGGAGAGACCTGCCCTTCCCTGCCAGGACGGGGTGGGGGGCTTCTCTCCTCCGGGCCACTTGCCCCCCAAAATGGGCTCCCTGGGGACACACAAGGCACAAATGTGCCAAACAAGCTGAGAAGGAAGGCAAAACCGCGGAGGCTCAGCGGTAAAGAATCTGCCTGCCATGCAGGAGATCAGGTTCGATCCCTGGGTCAGGAAGATCCCCTGGAGGAGGGCGTGTCAACCCACTCCGGCATTCTTGCCTGGAGAATCCCATGGACAGAGGAGACTGGTGGGCTATAGCCCACAGGGTTGCAAAAAGTGGGACACGACTGAAGCGACTTAAGCACGCATCATCAAGGCGAAATAGAAAGCCACTCCCTGGGATAAGGCCTGCCTCTCTTTGGGCCTACACTTCCCCTATCCCCGTCTGTAAAATGAGAGAATTGGACCAACGCCGCCTCGCCTTCAGCTCGGACGACAAGCTTGGAAAGGGGATGCCGGGCCCTCCTCGCCACCCTCCGGCACCAGGAGGCCAAGACTGGCTTTTCGGTCCCCGGAAAGCATCTCAGAGCTGTGCGGGATGCCAGGAGGTTCCGCCGTTGGCTCCGTCCGGTTTCCCCAAGCTCCGGGCCGTGGGCGCCCTCTAGTGTCGCCTTCCCCACCTTTCAGTCATTTACTAGAATCCCGCCTAGGGCGTTTTGTAAAATAAACTATAATATTGATGAAAAGTATAAAATGTATAGAGTTTTCAAGAACCTGTGTTCTACTTCCAGAAAACGGTCACTTTAACTTTGTAAATATTTATCTTAAATGATATTTACGAACCTGTGATATATATTATTTGATTGTACATGTACAACTGTAAATACATTTGTACCTCTCTTGTATTCTAAAATAAAACTTACTTGGAACATTTACCACTTAGCATCTGAATGGGTCGATCTTTTGTCTGCACGAAAGGGAAATGTGGAAAATGTCTAGAAGTTGGAGAATGGGCAAGAAGAGTTGTTTCACCTACTGGTTTTGAAAATAACCATCCTTGTCGCAGCTGGGGTGTCAGCTCACCAAAGAGAAGGCCGCAGTATAAAGCAGTCGAAGCTCACAAGGCGATGGGCAGATTCCTCCTGGTTTCCAGCTGACTCTCAAATATCAGTGTCTTGTTTTCTTACTGCCCCCAAATCTTTGCTGCTGCTTTTTAAAAAATTTTCATGGACAGTTTGAAGGAATCCATGCAGCCCAGGCAGGTGGACCAAGATGGACAAGAAATACCCTCCCAATGCCTAGAATTTCCAAATGCTCTGGTGCTCATTTCCAGACACTCCTTCAGGAAGAACAAAGAGCAGGGAGGCCATCAGTGAAGGGCCAGGCCCCGACTCTCCTCTCCAGGACCTCTTGGCCAGGAGGGGGTGCACAAACTGGGAAGTGTGAGTTCACACCTGTGCTCCAGCACGTAACAGCTGTGAGGCTGTCACCCTTCCAACCCACTGGCATCCCTCAGGCCCACCTCTCTGTGCGTTCTAGCTGTGTACACACACAAACACACACCCTGAAGATGCTGGAATTCACATGTACATACAGGCCATTCCCATTTGGAGCTTCATGTATTCCCAAAGACCCATACTTCGGGGGACTGATCTCGCACCCTGGCATGTAGGGGCACAGGCAGAGACGTAACTTGAAGGTCCTGCAAGTTATTCACTTGCAGGTCTTTGGGGCCAGTGGGGGACATCACGCTTCGTACTCCTCCTCTTCATCCCATTACAAACCTTGCTTCTCTTTTGATTCCTCACTAGACATTTTCTGATGCCTCTTGTGGCCCGTAGTCTTACCCTCCTCTCACTGCAACACAGTGTCAGACTTCATAAAAGTCAGTGGGCCCGCCCTTGATCAAAAATCTAAATTGCTTTCTGTAGGGAATTTTATGAAGCTCCAACTGGCAGATCTGAAGGGCAACAGCTCCTGCTCCAGAACCCACCTGGTGGCAGCAGGTTGTAATTGCAGAATTAAAGTGCCTGTGTTGCCCCCATAGTGTTGCTGGCACTGGAGATAACAGGTTGGGCAGAGAGGCATTGGCCACTGGAAGGACTGCATACCGGTGGGGGCTTCCCTTGTGGCTCAGCTGGTGAAGAATCCGCCTGCAATGTGGGAGACCTGGGTTCGATCCTGGGTTGGGAAGATCCCCTGGAGAAGGGAAAGGCTACCCATTCCAGTATTCTGGCCTGGAGAATTCCATGGGCTATACAGTCCCAAAGAATTGTGTCCCAAAGAGTCGTGTCCCAAAGACTTGGACACGACTGAGCGACTTTCACTCACTCACTGAGGCTTGATACTCAAAGCCTAATCTCAGTTTGTTCACTTTTCCAGCAGGGGCCTTAGGCTCCTTTCCCAAGACTGCACGTCCCCCTCCTCCCAACAAAAGCACACAAATACAGCTAGAGTAATTTTTGAGTTTAGGGATGTATACGCATGCATTTCGGGATTCCTCCCCATAAATCCGTGAACTTGATGCTCTTTTTTCTTTGTTGTCCCCCTTCCGATGCTCTGTTAACATCCATCTGAATTATGAGAAATCTGAGGCATCAAAAAGTGAAAAGTGAAAGTGAAGTCGCTCAGTCATGTCCGGCTCTTTGTGACCCCAAGGACTGTAGCCTACCAGGTTCCTCTGTCCATGGGCTTTTCCAGGCAAGAATATTGGAGTGGGTTGCCACTTTTTCCTCCAAATGTCCATCTGAATTGTGAGAAATCTGAGGCATAGAGGAAGTCATTTGCACATGTCACTTAGCCAGTGAGTGGCAGAGCAGGTTTCACCATGGCAACTGATCCTAGAAGCCATGCTCACGACCAGTAGGCCCCGCCACCTACCAGTCAGTTTGTAGATTCAATCAGAAGGGCTTGCTGCGTATCCTGTAGGCATGCGGTATAGACAGCACTATAAATTGACCTTGTAGCCTTAATCTTAGAAAACTCACTTATTCATTCTTGTAGCTTTGGGGGGTTAGATTCCTTAGGACTTCTATGTACACGGTCATGTTATCTGTGAATAAGGCAGTTTTATTTCTTATTTTCCAATCAAGATGACTTCCATGTCTTTTTTTACTGCATGGTTCAAGACCTCTGGGTATAGAGAGTTCTAGATAGAGGTCACTGGTCTGTGTTTGAAACCCTACTTGGCCTTTCACTAGCTGTGTGACCTTGGGCAAGTGAATTAATGTCTATGTGTCTCAACTTACTCAAATGAAAAATGGGGTGATGCTTTGCTCCTAAGGATATTGTGAGGACTAAGTAAGATAATGGATGTAAGTGAAATACATGGCTTGGGATCTGGCATGTAGTAAGAACTCAGTAAATGGAAACCATTGCTAACACAAGGATGCCTTTGGTGGAGTGAAGGGTTGTGGCTGCTTCTACCACCCACCTCACTGGGCATCCCCAGGGGCATCTAATGTAGCTGTCCATCACCCCGTCTCCTGCCCTTTCCATTAGCCATTATCCTCGGAGCTCCTGAAATGGAGGAACAGATATTCTAAGCTTTCGGCTTCCTTCCCAGCTTGGGGCTGGTCTGCTAGGCTGCATGGCCATGATGGGGTAGGACAGATTAAGGACAACGGCTTGTTAGCACCCATCCTGACTGCTTCCCATGGCACGGCTGCCTTGGGGAAGTCAAACTTCATGCATGTTGGCTCAGGGCTTCAAGGGCGGGTGTTGTGGGAGAACCAGGCTACCTGGTCTGTTCCGATCAGTCTTCCGAGTCCTATAGAGGCACTTCTGACTTGCGCTATCAAGGTGATGGACAGCTGCCTTAGTCACAAGCCTGCCCAGATGCAAGACAAGGAGGCACAGACTGCCATTCTTAAAATTTGTGGACATGCTTAAAGGCTGCCACAGGCATCAAAACTGTTTCTAATGTTTTGAGGAGAGGCTGTCCTCAAAACATGAGGTCCTTGGGTGGAAATTTTTGTGTACATCTCTGACTGCAAAAGTTCTGGGGATGGTGGGGTGGATGGAGAGGAATTCCCTGGTGGTCCAGTGGTTAGGACTCCATGCTTCCAAAGAGCTCAGGGCTAGAGGGTTCCTGCTGCTCTGTTTTTACACTTTTCCAGATCTCCTTTTTGGTTACTTTCATTCAGAGTTCTCTGTCCCCCTCAACCAAGCTCTCCAGCGTCAATAGTTCCCTGCCTTTAAGGCTCATTCGAACACCAGTGCTGTCAGGACGTCTTTTCTGTCCTCCCCTTAACCCCCCACCTCCGACCCCTGAGCTCCTGACCAAACGCCCTGATGCCTGGGGTAGAAACGCTCCAGAAATGCTTGTGGAATAAGTTCATTCATTCCACAGATATTGGCCGAGTGCTGTTCTAAGAGTACCTGGGTTTGTTTTTCTTTTTTTTTCATCTTGTGTCTGCTCTGCATGGCATGTGGGATCTAGTTCCCTAACCAGGGGAAAATTTAGTGACAAGAAATAAAACAGTATCAAGTGATAAAAACAGGATTAGTCTAGGTAAGGTGGTCAGGAAGGCTTCTCTGAGGAGGTGATATATGAGCTGAGATCCAACTGAGGAGGAGCTACATGAAGACCTGGAGGGAAGAGCGTTCCACGCAGACAGCGCCAAAAACACACACGTCCTTGGTGCCATCACCTCTGGCTGTGTACTGGGTAAGGGAGCAGGTTCGGTCGCAGATGGGCAGAATCAGGCAGGGATGAATCTGGATTTTATTCCTAGGAACAGGGAAGCTGCCAGAAGTGTTCTAAGCAAGAAAGTGATTTAATCTGATCTGTTTTTATTTCTTATTTTGTTTTTGAATATCCTAAAAGACTTAATTATTTATTTTTACCCTTTGCCATTATGGTTTATTTTTTAAAAAGTGACAGGCGCTCAGTTGTGTCGGACTCTTTGCGACCCCATACTGTGGACTGTAGCCCACCAGGCTCCTCTGGCCATGGGATTCTCCAGGCAAGCATACTGGAGTGGGTTGCCATTTCCTTCTGCAGAGGATCTTCCCAACCCAGGGACTGAACCCATGTCTCCTGCATTGCAGGCAGATTCTTTTACCATTTGAGCTACCAGTGAAGCGCTGGTATGGTTTATTACATGATATTAAATATAGTTCCCTGTGCTATACAGGGAACTTTGGTTTTTTTTTGCTTTATGTATCTTGCTCATTTTGTTTGTTTCATTTTTAGTTACACGTTGTATTGAAGTGTAGGTGGTTTATTACGCTGTGTTAATTTCTGTTGTACAGCAAAGTGATTCAGTTATGTGTGCTCAGTCGCTCAGTCATGTCCAACTCTTTGCAACCCCACG